TCCTCTATATATGTATTGGTCCTCCAACTGGAGTTCTTCTGAATCTAAGTCTCTTTACACCACAGAGCTTTGCTGTTTGCTGTGCCTGTGTACTTCTGCCCCTCCTACTGTCTTCCAAAAGGTGAGCGGCAACTCGAAGATCATCTGTCTCTGCAGAGGCTCTCCTGCATTAATCAGGCGAGGGTTAGATCTTCCACCCTGCTCCAATCTTGTTAGCCTAGGCTTGGTCTCCGGCACGGTCTGTCAGTGCACTCTGCTAGCCAGGAGGACCCTGGAGTCCCTTCGGGTCAGCCGTTTTTGTAAAACATCCAAGATGATGCCTGAGCTCAATGGTAGTATGCCAAGTGGATTATGAGTTAGTTCTTCCAATTTAATTCCACTGAGATGGCTGATTCCATGCATAACTTCTATTAGAAATTTATTCCGATGAAGTGAACAAAACCAAAACCAAAACTGGTTAATTTTTTTTTTTTTTTGCTTATTGAACATTTATTACATTTACTTTTATTTTCCTTGTTTTATATGTTGACTATATGGCCATGGCACGAATTCCAAGGACCCAGGAGAGCCTGCTTCGAGGAAAGCTAGAGCCATTTTAGATGTAAATAAGCCACTAAGTGTACATTTATGTATCACTGTTTGCTTGTTGTTGGAACTGTGCATTCTTCCACATAAGTACATAAAAATAGTTTCTGCTTACAGCAGATACATACCATTACATTGTTTCCGGAAACATTTTAGAAAGTACAGGCAAATATATGCATAGTATCTATCACTGTTTGTTTGTGATTGAAACTATATGTACCCGAAGCGTAGTTTTTACTTATGAACAAATACATACTATTACATTTTGTCATTTTCTTTCTTGGGTTAAAACAAAACACTGAGCTGCTAAGGCTCAGTGAGTAAAAAAACTTGCTATATGAGGACCTGAGTTCCAAGTCCCAAAACCCATGTTATAACCAGACTCCTACTTCAAGCATCTATAATCCCAGCGCTCTTATGGGGAAGTGGGAGGTGGAGACAAGAGAATCCCTGGACTCTCACAGGTCAGTTTGCTTGGAGTCTGCAGGGGAAAAACAACAAAGAGACCCTGTCTCAACCTAAGTGACAGGTGATCACTGACAATGCTGTCCTTTCATCTTCATGCACATGTCCACCTTCAGACATACACATACTGAAAAACCGTTCTTACTGACATGCAGGAGGTTCCCAGTATTTTCGTTTATCATCAGGAGTGCTGTAATATACAGGCAGCTTAACAAATGGGTTAGTATACTTGTAGCAAAAACTACACAGAGTTGTATGACTAACACTCAGTGACAAATATGCCTAAACCATTTCCACAGAGACTGTGTTTTTAATCCCACAAGCCACCCATGAAAAGATCTATTTCTTTATTGTCCATTAAAAGCATTTTCCTTTCCTGAGGGGCTCACAAGGAGAGCAGGAAAACTCTTAAGAGTATAGTTTCATTTACTGGTCTAATTCAAAATGGTTTTCTTCCCTTCCCCCTTTCAAACCATCTTCTCTCCATCGTTTAAAATCCTCTCTACTTTGCCCTAATGTGAGAGACTATCTCTCCTCCATTCCCCTGCAAATACCAGGCAAAGTTCCAGGAACGGAGGCTTGACGAATGATCAAAGTCCTTATTTCCAACAGTTGTTATAATGAGGAGAGTCAACACACCAAGTGTCCTCAGTGGTGCATTAGAGTGATGCCTTGCGAAAGGACATAAGGAGAAAGAGGCATGGGAGTCACTCTAGTGAAGGGTGGCCAGGAGCTTCCAGGAGGACAGCAGGAAGAGAGGAAGGGCCAGGGTCAAAGAGGCTGGAAGAATGAGCCAAATGCTAGGTTCTCATAGTCAAATGGAAAAACCACTGGAGTCTCAGAGGATGAGGAGGAATGGTCCACCGAGAAGAGACATGGGGAAGCTAGAATGGAAGACAGGAGGATCGCATAGGAGACGACCTGTAAACCAGGTGGGGAAACGTGAGTCAGACGAGGCTAGTAGCTAAGGAGGGAGAGGTTAGGGTGTAGGTCTACTTGGAAGGTACAATACTGTGGTTTGCACATAGTTCCCCTGTGATCCCAAGTTCATGGGTAGTCTTGGTCTCCAAAGTAGTAACTTGAGCAGTGGTGATCTTTTAAGAAGTTGGGCCCAGTGGCAGGTAATTAGGGCAACCAGAGGAAAGATCCCTGGAACCCACATAGTAGGAGAGAATTGGTTCAGCAAGTTGTCCTCCGACCTCCACACGTATGCCATGACTTGTGCACACCCACACACATAAGAAAGAAAAGGTTACCTTACTTGAAAAAAAAAAAAAAAGTCATTCTAGCTGTCAGTCAAGCCTGGCTCCTGCAGTCTTTGGTTTTGTCTCCCAGTCTATGTGACCTCTTCTGTATGCACATACTTCTGCTATTGTGACACCATCTGCTCAGGAGAACTCGACACAGCCAAGCAGATGTTAGCATTATACTCCTGCACCCTCCGAGCTGGAGCAGTCTTAACTTCCTTCCTATTACTGATTTTGAAAATAGACTAATAGATACAACTAGCATGATTTTTCTTGCTGATTCAATTCTGGGTGAGTGATTAAAAAGTAAAAGTAATTTCAAGGTCCTCTTCTTAAGGGAGAGCAAAGGAATTGCCTTTATTGAGAAAAGAAAACATTGTAGGTGGAGCTGATGAGTTGAGATTAGATTTATGACTAACAGGGTTTTCCAAGGTCTCCGACGGCCATAGGTCCAACATTAGTGTCACAGACTACACTATGTCTGAAAACCCTTGGGATGACAGCTCTGAGGAAATGTTTAAAGGCATTTTCCTTCTGCTGCACTCTTCTGGTCTGGATGAGACTTGTTCTGACATAGCATATTAAAAGGCCATGCATCCTTTTTTTTTGTGAGGTAAATGACCAAAGTAATAGGCAAACCCATATACACACCCCTACAAACCTTCAAAATGCAAAATCTTGATTTTTCTGTCTATAGCATAACTGTAAGACATTAGCTAATAGGGGGCTCGCTGTCCTTAAAATGTCAAAACCCCAGTTCAAGTCTGTATTTGTGGGTCTGTGATTCCAGTAAGATACTAGTCCTACACAGTGCCAAGACAGACCCAATCTGAAAAGTGGCTAACTGAAGAATATTCTGACACCTCTTGGGCAAATAATCCCAAAAGAAAGAGTGCATGGAAACTAGCAGCCAAGAAAGGCGTGGAAACCAGCCGCCACTAACCTATCTGATGAAACAGTACCTAAAATGGGATGCTTACTACCAAAGCATAGAAAGAGGAAGGAAACAAAACCGGCATTTTAAGTCATATGAGGGAGAGAGGGGAGGCAGAAACTGGTGTGTAGGGATTCCTTTAAAGGTTAGGAACAGACAAGGGGAAAGATACTTCAAATCGTGTCCTTGTAAGACAATGCAACCATGTGAGATCGCCAAGCTCAGCTTTCCCGGAGCCTTGTCCGGCTCACAAGGCCAGTAGTGAAGACACGCTAAAGAAAAACCACCCATCGCTAGAGTAGTTCAGGGAACCCAAAGTTGTTGTAAAGCAAGTGTAGTGGAGGCCAGACTAGGTGACTCAGATGCATGACTCAAAGCCGACACTGGGGCTGTCTGTCAACTCCCAGAGGCGGGGGGCACTGCGTCTGGCACATTTCAGGAAAGTACCAGGCTCGGGAGGGCGACAGGAAGCCTCCCCGGCGCGTGCGTGAGTGTGCCAGGGCGGCCTCCGCCCGCCTCCGCCCGCCACGCGCCCACCGCCCCGCCTCGCGGGCCAGCCCGACCCTGCCTTCTTCCACGCCCGGGCACGCGCGCCGGGGCCGCACGAGACGAACACCTGTCGGGCCCCTGCTCCGCGAGATGTAGGGCGCACCCCTAATCGCCCGGGGTGTGTGTGTCGGGGTGTGGGGGGGGGGTGGAGAAAAAAAAAAAAAAAAAAAAAAAAAAAGCAAGCACGTTCTCGCGAGGTTTCGGAAATTTCCCACGGCCCGTGTTGTGTCTGAGCCGAGCGGTGGCAGGCGGTCGGAAGGAGGTGTAGCGTGAGACTTCGGCTGCCCGCATTGCGCACATGCGCAGTGGCTCACGCGCGCGCCGCGCCAGTCCTGCGGCGTCGCGGAGCGGGTTTCGGGCGGTTGAAGTCCAGTTGTCCGGGTTTTGTGGCTCCCTGCGGGAGGCAGCGCAGGAGCTGGGAATCTCTAGGAAAGGAAAGGGCCGGGGAGGGGGGGGGGAGCGGGGCGGCTCGCAGGTAGGGGAGGGGCGGGGCTCGGGCCTGCACCTGGCTGGGAGCTGTCGGGTGCACGCAGCGGGGGGACAGGGTCAGGAGCCACCCGGAGCCACCAGGAGCCACCCGGAGCAGAGGCTTCTCCGCAAGTCCCCCCACACGCCGCCGCTCCCGCGACCTGGAGGCCGTCCCCTCCCTGCCTTGCTAGGCAGCAGCCTGAGCTCGGGCGGGAAGCTCGCTCCCGAGTGTACCTGGGCTTTTGCAATGTGGCTCGTAGTGGTGGCTCTGGGGAGAGCCCTTCGGGGCTCTGATGTGGGGATGCGAGGGGGGCATCTGGGGGCGCCTTTGCCCGAGGCTGACCTCGGGCTGACCTCACACTGCCCCGGGGAGAAGCGGCCTAGGGAGAGCAGAGAGTTACCGATCCCCGAAGCTTCCCGTCTGCAGAGCTCTGGGAGAGGGTCGGGCCACGTTGTACTCATGCCCGTTCCCACCACGTGTGCGGGAAGCGCAGGGACAAATGAATGAAGACAGCTGCTGGCGGGTCACGGGGTCCGGATCTCTTGTCCGGTCTCCACCGCTCGGGCACCTGATACCGAGATTAGCATAAAGGAGGGGTCCAGCGAGACGTCTGAATGAATGAAGAGGGCTGGGAACCCGCAGCGAGCGGGAAGCCGCTTGGAAAACACCCACTTGAGGAGGTGTCTCCTCTAGGCCTGTGAAACGCTCACATTTTTCCCAGGACCCCTCCTCCCGGCCCCTGGGCCCCGCCTCCTGACCCCTCCAGTCCTTGTCCCCGTAGTAATCCCCTCCGGTTTTCCTCAGTCTCCACGTACGTCCCCGAGGGCGCGCCCCAAAACCCGGATAACCGGAGCGCTCCCCATGGACTCCACGGAGGGCTCGCCCGCGGAGGAGCGGCCTGCGCATGCTCCATCGCCGGGGTAGGTTTCCAGGGAAGGCAGCGCACAGGATCCCCCTAGTCCGCGGGCGGCGCGAGGTGGCAGGCTCCCGGCGGCGGCGGCGGCGGCGCGGGGCAAGGCGGCGCGGGGGCCGGGTGGCAGCGATCAGCGAGGCCGCGGGAAGGGGCGGGGGAGAGGAGCAGGGAAAGGCGGCGGGGGGAATCTCGCGAGGGTTGGAGTTTTGGCGAGAGTTTGTGGAAGATGGCGCCTGTTGTGACAGGGTAAGTCTGAGGGGAGCAGCGAGTGCTGGGAACCGGGAAAGTTGCGGGCGTCTGACGGCCCGCGGGCAGGCGGCGGGCCGGGGCTGCGCGGCGCGCCTCGGCTCGGGAGCGGGGCGCGGGCGGCGGCGGCGCGGGGGCGCGGGCCGGCGCGGGGCTCGCCGTGCGCCGCGGCGGTGGAGCGGGGCTCCGGCGCGTGAGGGCGGGCGGGGACGGAGGCCGGCGGCTTGCGGGCCGAGTGCGGTCGGCGCGCGGGGCGGTGGGCGCCCGTGCCCGCCGCGCGCTCCCCCCCCCCCTCGGGCGGACCTGGCCCGGGGCCACGGCGCAGCTTTGTTCCCGGCGGGCCCGCGTCGCCGGTCCGCTCCGCCGCTGCCCCCGGCGCCCGGGCGCTTTGTCTGTGCGCGCTGCCCCCCGCGACTCGGCCCCCGGCTCTTTGTTTCGCCGCCTTAGGCGCTCGGTGGGAGCCGCTGCGCGCCCCGCATCCCGTCTGCATCTCCCCTCCGCTGTCCTTCCTCCCGTGCCCCTTTGTTGTAGCCCTCTCCTCGGTAGCCGGGTGACCTGCCACAGCCCAGGCACCAGATCCCTTGCCTTTCTCTTTCTTCCATTGTCTTTCTCTTATGTATCCCCCCCCCCCTCACCTTTTTCTGTTTGGTCCTTAGTCACCCCCAGAGGCTTTGTCTCCCCTATCTAGTAGCTCAGTCACTTAGCATCCCCTCCTTTCGCGTCACTGCTTGCTTGATTTATCCACTGCCTACTGTGTCTGTTGAACTGTCTCAGCCCCGGGGACTCCATCTGGTGCTTCCAAGTGCGCACAGTCTCTACGGTTTGCTTTTGTTGTTGGAGTCTGGTAGATGCTTGGGGGGTACTTAAGTTTGCTCCTGCGCGCCCCACCTTTCCTTCGCACCCTTTTCTCTCGGGATCACCCCAACACCACCCCCACGCCCCCCCCACTCCCATTCCCCGTGCACCGTTCTCCTGGGATTAAAACGACTCCCGTTTTCTTTGCCATCTTTCTGGGCCCGTGATTGTTTTGCTTGGCAACAGTAGCGCCGGAAAAGGAGCTAGATTCTTGATGGTTATTGCCCTCCATCGTTGGCTTCTGACAGCCCAGGCCAAGGGCATCCGCAGTAGCGTTGCACCTGGGTTACCTGAGGATTGATGGAGGGTTTATTGTAAGACTGTTAGAAGTAGGCGCAAAGGTATTTTTTTTCTTCTTCTTCTTCCCTGTTAGTGTTGGAGAATAGTTTCAAATATTCACAATGGATATTCATTTGGTGTGAGTAGGAAGTGAGTGAATTTTGATGTTGAAAACTTGTGAATGTTGGGGTGGAGAATTGTATCCCCCCCCCCCCAATCTAGACCCACAGTTTAACTGTTGTTTTACTGCTTTATAAGGAAGAGACATCTCACTTTTGATAAATGGTTTTTGGCAAAGGGAATTTGATTAATGGTTTGCTTCTTAAAATAATTAGAGTTTACCATTTATGATTGTTTGAATTTGCAGTTCGTCGTTTTTACTTCTATGGATGTGTGGCAACTCCTGTTCCGACATTGGGATCAGGTGCCATAGAGCAGTTTTGGTTTGATGAATACTACTTTTAGGATCTTTGTGGAATACATTAATTACAGGCAGTCAAAAGATAGTGATAGCTTTTAGTTTGGTTATCTTAAAGGTACTTCTTTATGTTACAGGAGCAGTAAGTTGTGTTCAGCTCTTATTGTTATGGTAATGTTAAAAGCTTGGGGTGATGGCTAGGGGGTGTGGTGTAGGTTATTGTATACTAATGGCCTGAATTGTTGTGCTAAGAGTAATGTACCAGGGTTGTTGATACTGAATGTATTGTTCAGGAAAATTTTTTTTCTGCTAGTTGATCACTACTTTTAGAAGATACATTACCCATAGAGTCATATGCAGCTTCATCTCTTTTAAAATTGTCCACAAAGGGCTGTTGATGAGGACATAGAAGATGGGGTCTAAGGAATGTTGGCACTTTGGAAAGCTTTTTTTAAAACGTAATGATTAGAATTAGTAGGCGGAATTTTTTCAGTGGAAATCATATTTTTATGAACGATACATGAAGTTTTTTTGTGAGAATTTGCATTTCTCTCATACTTAGTGCATAACTCCTGAGGTTAAAATCAGGCACACACTGGTTCTGACCGAAAGCACATGTAAATGCTGTGTAATAATGGAATGTAGTTTGCTTTGATTTGTGGATTTAAGAATGATCACAAAGACACCAATAAAGTGAGTTTTACAATTGAGTTGTGTTGTTTCTAAGCATGTGAGACTTATACTTTATCTTAGCCAAAAGGCTATGAGGAGTGGTCATGTAAGAATTTTCATGAGATAAAAAACAATGCCTTAACTTAGCAGCATATTTGGAAATAATTCGTGATGGATTGTGGCTGGAAAACTTTCTGAGTATTGACTATCTTAGCTTTAAATTTATTATCCTTGAATATTTGTAGGAAATTTATGAGGCTGGCTTGTAGTATTTTTTAGATTTGTTTTATTACATACTTTTAGGGCATTCACTTTTAAAAGTTAAATTTATATAAAAGTCACTTTTTGCCACAAACGCACAGATTTCTCCTACTATCTTAAATAAGATAAAAAAAAAAACAAGGGGATGCTGCTATTGCCAGATACAATTTATTAGATAATCTTTGGTATCATGGATGAATAAGGCATTAGGAGAAAATGATTATGTTTTAAAGTTCTTGCATGTTTTAATTCTGAGATTTACTCATTTTTAGAAATAAGACTTGGCTTGAAAGCATTATTTTGCATTTTGCTTCCTCCTAATACTAAATTCATGTTATTTCAGCTAGGGGCAGTATTTTCTCATGGATTGACTAAAAGTTGTTATTTTTGGCGTCTGGCTTTGTGATTATTTCCAAGTTATTCTACTTCCTCTGCCAGTTTCCTAACTCTGTAGAATGGGAATGGAATAACTCGCCACATCTGCAGAGATACACCCTGGGGTTTTCAGAACCCCCTTGGATGAACAGTGTACTTAAGATCTAGGAACTGTTATTGAAACGAGCTGATTGTGAAGTAGGTTATATTTTATAGGAAGTCAAGTAGGAGGTTGTGAACTAAGTTCTTGGCAAGTTACAGGAGTGACAGTGGAATGAAAAGAAAGCTCAGCCATGTATTATAGTTTGTAGAAAAGATGTGTCTTCCCTATACATTTAGAGGGAGAAGGTCAAACAAAACAAGCTTGTGTAAGAGATTGAAGATCTATTAGACTGAAGTGTAATGACCCATTGTAAAATCATGGGATGCCTTCATTGATTTCTGCATGTAGTAATACTTTTTAAAAGATAGTAAAGAATGTTTTCTCTGCACTCATAGCCAGGTCTGTTAATAGTAATGAAAACTTTATATCTGGCTTATATTTTTTTGATGCTTTGTCTTATGCTTTCAAGAATTTTCTGACCACTAGGATGTAATTTTAGACTTGACTCTTGGTTTTAGGGAAGGTTTTCTTTTTGTCATGTTTTGTTTGTTTGTTTTGCACTTGAGATATTCTGTATTCTAGTGATGAAACCCATTGCTCCTTTTGGCAGCTGATAGTGAGGTGTCATCTGGTTCCCCCCCCCCCCCCCAAGTTTTAGGCTTCCTCTCTCACTAAACCTTTACTTTTGAATCATTGAGAGGAGGTTGCACCACGAAGCCTAGGCTGGTCTGGTACTTAAGATAGTCCTGCCTAACCCTCCCTAGAGTTGGGATTACATGTGTGCACATAGCTGAGCCTTTGCTTCTTTCTAATTACTAAGAACGGATAGTTTTACCACCTAAACAAACCCTTTAATCTGTTCATCCATAATGCCACAATGCATGCTGACATCACTTCTCACCTATTTTACAATAGGCCTCTTTCCCCTTCTAGATTTACCTCTAGATTCTCTAGCTTCTCCACAGCCAGAGCAGTGTTTCTGAACAGTAAATCAATCACTCTAGTTTAAAAAGCTTTCAATGGCTCCCCCTACAGCTTTCACTAAGGAGAGGCAGCAAGCTAGAGGGCTTTGAGGTCACATTTAAGATCACATTTAAGATGCCTCTGTGTTAGGTTCCAATTCTGCTTTTCTTTCCTCTTAAATCTCTGTAATATTACCAGGCTGGCCTATCCTTTCCTCTTCCATCAATTGCAAGATAATTATTCCTAATTCAGAGGGTTTTGAAGGTTAAGTGAGATAATAGTTGAAAGCATTTAATAGAATTCAAGGCATATACTTAGTTCTTAGAAATCTTTGCTAGTGATTCATAGCAGGTTCTTCATAGCTATTTACTTCATAAATGTCTTCTTCAGTTTTCAAAGCTCATATTTCAGAACTTGAAGTTCCTACATAGGCCCAGCAGTTTAATGACTCCCTTAACTTGAAAAATAGGTTATACTTTGAGACTGAGGTTAGAAAATAGTCTAACCAGATAGATCAGACTAAATTCCATGCTTCTGCTGTGTGTTATTGAAAGATTGGTATAATTCTCTTGGAAGTATGTTACTAAATTGTGGTGTAATTATTATATTCAGTGAATATGGTGACAGTACCATTTTCTCAATCTCTCTCCCCTTCTTTTTGGATCTGAGGACCAAACCCAGGGCCTTGCACTCAAGTGCTCTACCACTGAGCTAAATCCCCAACCCCCTACCATTTTCTCTTAATCATTTATATATCCATACTCACAAGTGTGCTCAGTACTTGATAGAGAGTCAGCAGAAACAAGAGTTACCTACTTTGAAATATGAATGTACT